TGACTATTAAGTCCATTTGAAACAAGATACTCTTTTTGTTATAGTGGTCTCTTTCTAACTTTAATTTTCTGAAGGGATATTTTTGTCTTTCAAATATTGTTTCCTTTGTGGTTTTCAAATTTCCTGTTGGATACAGTCCTCTGTATTTAAAGTGTTTTTGTTTACTCTTATATTTATTTCAAAGCCATTGAAGTATGCTTCATAAAGCTATGAAGTAGTTTTAAAATGATAATTAAAAATTTTTTCTCTGTCAGATATTTTTTAAAAAGATATTTTTGACAGTATGGTACTAGCATAATACTAGACATAGATCAGTGAAACTGAACTGAGACTCCATAAATAAAATCTTACGTTTATGGTCTGTTGATTTTCATCAAAGATGTCAAGAGCATCCAATATGGTCAGAATAGTCTAACCAGCAAATGGGGCTATAAAAACTGAGCATCCACACTCAAACACTCAAAGTTATATCTCTTCTACATACCATTTCCCTAAATTAACTAAAAATGAATTGTAGACTGAAAATAGGAACTAAAATGATAAAACTCTTAGAAAATACGAGAATTTTTAAAAGCTATTTCCAAAAGCATATGAAACAAAAGAAATAATTAGATAAATTTGATTTTAGCACAACTTAAAATTTATGTCAGGAGACACCAAGAAAGTATAAGAACTGGGCATCAGTGGATCATACCTATAATCTTAGCTACTTAGGAGGTTGTGAATGGGGGAATCATGGTTAGACCAGCTCAGACAAATAGTTTTCAAGACCCCATCTCCAAAATAATCAGAGGAAAAATAGTGGCTCAAGCAGTAGAGAGCCTGCTTTGCCAGTGAGAAGCCCTGAGTTCAAACACCAGTCCCACCAGTAAATAAATAAACAACAGAATGTGTAAGGAAGCCCATATAATGATAATAAATTGCAAATCAACTATCGTGAGAGTTTTTTTAATGGACAAAGGATTTGAGTAGATTTCTTCTAGAAGATAGACAGAGGACCATTAGTACATAAGAGAATGCTCAATATCATTAATTATCCAGAAAATGGAAATACTGATCAAAATTATCACTTCACCCTTCTCACCCCCAGGATAGCTAAAATAAAAAAGGATAAAACAGTCAGTGGGTTATAAAATGGTTCAACAATTTTGGAAAACAGTTTTTAATTCCTCAAAATGTTAAATGTAGAATCATCACAGCTTAGTAGTTCCACACCTAGCTGCATACATGTACAAGAGATATGAAAACATGTCTTCACAAAATACAGTACACAGTGTTCATAACAGCATTATTCATAGTAGTCAAAAGTAGAAACACCTCATATCCATATATGTCCTATCAACTGATAAATGAATAAACAAAATGTTAAGATCCAAACAATGGAAATATTATTTGATCATAAATAGGGATAACTACAACGTGTGTGAACTTTAAAAACATTATTAGTGATAGAGTCCAGTCAGAAAAAGACTGTATTTTGTATGATTACAGTTGAATAAATGACCAGAAATGGCAACTCATTGGCCAGATATGGTCCATAGAGACAGGAAGTAGATTAGTGGTTGCCTAGACCAGGGAAAAGAGGAGAAATTGGAAGTGACTGTTAATAGGGACTGACCGTGGTTGTTTTTGAGGTGATGAAAATGTAAAACTGTGATAGTTGCATAAGTCTGCGGATATACGAAAAAACATTGAATTGTGCACTTAATTTTTTTGTGATGCTGGGGATGGAGTCGTATCTTTCATATTACACTTGTGACTTATTATTCTTCTAAATGTACAAATGGATTTTGCTTAGAGTTACTTTTCTAATTTGTTCTTCTCTATGAGTCAGAACTTTCCTAGAGCTTTTATTGGGCTCCTAAATTGTTTTTGTATTCTTTTGGACAGTTCTGCCTTTGTAATATTTTCTGTACATTAAACCTGCTAATTTTTTCCCCCGAGTCAAAAGATGTTAGAGTCTTGTTTTCTGTTTTTCTTCCTTTTTCACAAGATTATATGTGTAATGATCTGTTATGAATAAGTTTGTTTTTCTAAAAATAGGTTGTAGAGTTTAGTGATAGGGGATGGGAGTGTCCACTGAAAGCTACATAGAAAATTATACTGTTCTTTTTCTTTGCTTATTTACTTTAAAAGATAAAGTATGAATTTACCTTTTATAAAATTTTGAACAGGGGAGTAAAATATTTTTAATAAATACCAAACAATTCACCTGATAGTTTCATATGAAAAGATGTTGAAAAAGAAGGATTAGAAGGAAAGGGAAGACTGAGGAGAGAGTAGGACACTCATAGAGAGAGTCCATAGAGTAAAGTGAGATCTGGCAGCAAGATAAAGGGTATGAAGTAAGCAGTGTGCCTTTCCCAGCTCACCCTAATCCCAAAACACCTTTGAGTGATACCTTCCAATCTGACCTGTTTTACTTCCTCTCTTCTGCACCCCTCCCCTACAGATTCGTGTTATATTTATAGGACTCCTCTTTCAAGCAATGCTGCCTACATCTCTGTTTCTTGATTCATGTTTTATCTGCCCTGCCTCAGTTCTTTGCTTAGCCCCCTTTTCTCTCTCAGTTCTCTGTTTTTGAGACATGGGCTTTAAATTCGTGATCCTCCTGCTTCAGTGTCACCAGTGCTGGGATTACAATTGTGTGCCGCCATGACCAACTCTCACTCAGCTTTCTGTACATTTCCTACTCCCATTTTCCTTTTCCTAATTTCTTATAGCTAGTGTTAATCTCATGCTTTTCTTTTTTTCTTTCAGTGCTAGGGATTGAACCCCATTTCATGCATGCTGGACAAGTCCTCTTATCATTGAACCACACAGCCCAACCCAGTACTATGCTTCTTAAAGTCTTTTTCTGCTTTTTTCTCAAACAGTCCTCTTAAATCTTGTCTTTCCTGTTCTGCCCTGCCTGAACTTCATTCTGAGGTGCCAGTTTCCAATTCCAGTGTCGTCTTCTGTATCATTCCAAGTGGTTTTTTTTTTACATTAAATGTACTTTATTTAAACCAGTAGAGCTTACAAACTAACCAAAATACATTTTACAGATTTTAAAAGTTACAACATTCTTAACTGATTTGTTAGAACTTTCAGACTAACCCCATTACTTTCCAAATGTTTTTTCCAAGTTTGAGTGAATGATTTTATATCTATGATTTTTCCCTTCTTAATCTTAGACAGTGATTTAACAAAGAAGGCTAAATGTTCAAAACTTAATTAAATGACAATTACCCTCTTGCATTTGATTCTAGACAATTTTTCTATAATGCTTAGGCTTGTCAGTTAATTGTGTTTCTTGAAAAATGTTATGAGGTATTAAACATAGAATCCTTCCCCAACGCATTAATAATGCAGGTACTTACTCATATCAACAGTTCTATAAGGACAACTAGGAAACAGATGTCATCAAATCCCTACAGTGGTTCTTTCTTTCTGGGTATTTTCATGTCCAGGTCTTAACCTTTGGCTACATGCCTAGTGTCTGTTAACCCTCTGGAAGAACTTACTTTGTAGGATGAAGCTACCTATGTCCTACTGAAGTGCTTTCAGATATGTAAACATTTATATTTGTTCAATTATTGGGGGTTGGAGGTGAGGGTAATGCTTGGAAATGCCATTGTTAGGAATCCCTAAGTGGTTTTCAACTAAAATATTTTTTAGTTTTTACTGAAATTAGTTAATGACATTTTGAAAAGTGTCTGTATCCTCAGATTATAAGGAAGATCAAGGCTTAAATAAGGTTTTAGGAAATAAAATTGTGATAGAAACATAGAGTAAGTCAGAGAAAAATACTTGGCAATTGAAGACATTATGACATTGTTCCTCCTCCCTTCCCCAATTCTCTTAAGACATGAATTTAAAAATAAATCATAACATGGTACATTGGAAAGTAAAAAAAAAAAAAGCAAACTACAAAAAGCACTGTTAGCATGATCCCATTTCATTCTAAAGAAAATTTATATATGAATATAAGTGATACAATAAAATAAATTCTCTGGATAGTGGGAGTGTGTGTTGTGTTTGTTTCTATTTATGTTTCCTAATTTCTTTCTATAATGAGTATATATTACTTTTGTAATAAAGTGTTTTTCACTTTAAAAAAAAAAGTGATAGCAGAAGGGTAGAAAGAGTAATTATTCTGAATATCAAATTAGTAGTGCCAGTGGAATTGGTGTTTGAAAATAGTCAGGTTAATAGGGAAAGTATCAGTTTAATCAGATTACTAGTCAGGTTAGCATTACTTTATTTTGTAGTATTTCACATTTCATTGTTTTTGTGTTTGCCTTAAATTTCCATAGCGTGACTTTTATGTGCTTTTAAAAGATGTCTTGGTGGGCTGAGGGTATAGCTCGAGTGGTAGAGTACTTTGCTTGCCTAGCATGTGCAAACAAGGCCCTTGCTTTAATCCCCAGTATTGGGGGGTGGGGGAAGGATGTCTTGGTAACTGAGTGGATTTATAATAAGGTCAGAACTAGAAAATTTTTCTGGGTTTGGATTAATAATTTTATGGTAAAACTGTTTGGTATGAATGTTGTCTTTTTTACCAACGTATCTGCAAGTATGTAGAATTCAGCCTGGATTTGACTTTTTTTTTTTTTTTTTCTCAACTAGAGAGATGGGTTCTGTGTCTTCTTTCAGTAAACAAATTTATTACAGAAGAGAATTGTATAGAAAACTAACTGAATCCCTAGAATTGTTTTTTCTTCATCTTTTCTCTGTGTGGGTGGGTACTGGAGATTGAACTCAGGACCTTTATCTTGATCTTGATCTTGATGACCATATGCTCTACCACTGAGCTGTCTCCAATCCCTAGGTTTTTTCTTTTTTCTTTTTTGGCTGTATTGGGGTTTGAACTCCGGGCCTCACAATTGCTAGGCAAGTGCTTTACTGTTTGAGCCATTCTGTCAGCCCCCTAGAATTGATTTTTCTAAACAAGATGTGAAGGAAATTGTTTCTGTTCATTTCAATGTAAAGATAAACCATTTATTCTTTATTTCCAGATTAGAAATGATATTTGCCAAATTTGATGAAGTACAAAATTCGGGCAACATGATTTTGAGTGTCTGCAAAGGTAAGAAAAATTAAGTTATTCCAGCTCTCAAACATTTCTAAGATTATTTAACAAATTTTAGACACTAAAATGTGTTTGCAAGCCAAGTATTACATCATTAATTCGGAAGAGTTAATTTTCTAACTTGAAAACTTAGCTAGGGTATAATAACAGAATTTTGCATCCTGCTAAGCATTGCCTATCTTCAGACTCTTTTTGAAGTAAGTGAAAATTTAATAATGGGTCTGTAGTGTAAAATGATACCCTTCCTTTGCCTTATATTTTTCTTTTGTCTTCTGGGTCAAAGGTGTGGTGTCCCTCTTGCCCTCCTCATTCTATAAACGCATAAAATGTGTTTTTATTTTACTTAGTTGTAATTATTTTACTTAGTTGTTTTTAGTAGAAATTGTGGGGTTGATGGACTCTTATTACACCTGTGTGTAGACTCTCAGTGATGATACTGGTGAAGAAACACACAGTAATTTCACTCGAATAATCATCTTTGACTTCTTATGTAGAATGAGACCAAGTTGGATTCAAGGAGGTTTTGAGCTAGCATTCACATTCACAAATAAATTGGCATTTATTTGATTTTGTGGTTCCTCTTTTTTTGTAATGTTGATAAATTGGGTAGCATTTACCTAGACTGTCTTTAAATATTAATTAGCCATATGAAGAATATATCCTGTTTCCAGAGATAATATAAATGATTTTTCCATGGAGGAAAGTAGCTTCATATTAGCAAGTATGTGTTTAGTTTGGTTATGTAAATGATGTTAGAGGAAAAAAAATGGTGTATGAGTTTATAGTCAAGCAATAGGAAAACTAGTTTAAAATATGATTTAAGCTTTTTTCTGTATGTCAAACCAAAGCTTAGCTTTGTTGTGTTTCAGAAAGTCAGGTAGAATGAGAATTTGGTGTTACAAAATTGTGTCTACCTTAATCTAAACTTACCTGGCACTCTGACTGCCAGTTATTTCTCACTTCTCTGAATAGAAAGTATTTAAGTACCTTGCTCTAATTTTTCTAGCAGTTACCTCTGCTCATGTCTATAGAAATAACCAAGCATCAGGAAGAGGGAGAGCTGTTAAAATGTTTTAAACTGAGTCTTGGTTTCTATAACATTCTTGTTTGCATATTCCAGACTGTAGGCAAAATGTATACTACACATTATAAAATTAAAGGATTCTTTCTTTGGATATGACTTACCTTGAAAGCACTGTTATTCTTACATTTAATGAAGTTATTCCTATTGCATTCAGAATGAAAGCTTTTTGTTTCCTGTTTTTCTTTTTCTCTTGTTTATCTCTCCATTATCAGAGAGGTTTGAGGTCATTTATATTTGTTGGAGGGAACCCAGACACTGTATTGTAGATTATGATCAAGATATTGCAAGTATGGTAAAATCTGAAAGTTAAAGTCTGTGATATCCATACTGGAGGACAGCACAATGTTAAGCTTTTTTTTTTTTTTTTTTGCACTACTAGAGTTTTGAACTCAGGACCTTTGCAACTTACTATGCAAATACCCTGTCACTTGAGTTATACCCCTATCCCTTTTTGCTTTAATTATTGTTCACATAGGGTCTTGTACTTTTACCTGAGGCTGGCCTCAGACCACAGTTCTCTTACCTTCGCCTCCCTGATAGCTAGGATTACAGGTGTGTGTGTGTCACCATTGATGGCTTGTTCTTTGAGATAAGGTTTTGCTGGCATTTTGCCCAGGGTTGGTCTCCAACAGTGATCCTCCTAACTCAGCTCCCCAGGTAGCAGGGATTACATGTGTGTGCCACTGCACTACACCCCAGCCCCAAGGATTTTTTTTTTTTTTCATTGTTGGGGTCTGAACTCAGGGCTTTGCCCACTGCTTGAGCCTTGCTTCTAGCCCTTACTGCCCTGGTTATTTTGAACACAGAGTCTCGCTTTTTGCCCAAGCCAGCTTGGATGCTATCCTGCTGTTTATGCTTCCCGTCATCACTGGGGTGACAGGTGTGTGCCATATTTCTAGCTTCCCAAGATTTTATATATGTGTGTGTATATATATATATATATAATAATTTTTTGTATATGTGTATATATATATATATATTTTATATATATATATATAAAATAATTTTTTTTTTCTTTTTTGCAGTACTGGGGTTTGAACTCAGGGCCTACACCTTGAGCCACTCCTCCAGCCCTTTTTTGTGATAGGTTTTTTCAAGATAGGGTCTTGTGAGCTATTTACATGGGGTGGTTTCGAACTGCAATCCTCCTGATCTCTGCCTCCTAAGTAGCTAGGATTATAGGCCTGAGCCACTGGTGCTCGGCCCAAGATATTTTTGATAATATGCTATGCTTGGCCATCCATATGCATGGATCCCACGTCTTCAGATTTTACATTCACAGATTCAGCCAACTGCATATGAAAAGTTTAGCTAGGCCTGCAAGGGTTGCCTCTGTACTCATTGTGTACAGATTTTTTTTCTTGCCATTATTACCTAAACAATGCAGTGTGAGAATTATTTACATGGTGCTTAACATTATTTAGGTATTAATCTAGAGGTGATTTAAAGTATATGGGAGGGTATGCACAGGTCATATCCAAACATTATGCCATTTTATATAAGGGATCAGAGCACCCTCAGATTTTAATGTCTATGAGGGGATTCCTGGAACCAAGCCCTGTGGTTACAGAAGAATGACTATATTATGTGTCATTGAAAAATATCTTAATGAATTAGTTAACAAAGGAGGAAACTAAAAGAAGGAAGCCCATTTGTCATGTTGTCAAGTCTCAGGCCCCAGGCCTTCTCTCCCCTATTTTTAATCCCCCCTCTCTCCTGTACTGATCCAGTCCATCCCAAAGGCTTTAAATAACTGCTTGTTGATGACTCCCAAATGTGTAGTTCTAGCTATCATTCATCTCTCCTTTATGCTTTAGTCTTGATAGCTTGTGGCTTCAATGACATTTCTACTTGGACATCTAATAGGCGTTTCAGATTTCAGGCTTATCGTATCCTGAAATGAAACCCATTTCAGTCAACTGCATCACGAAGCTAGAGTCCTGATTTGACTTCAGTCATTTCTACCTCTGATATAACACCATTGCTCATATTTGCTTATTTTTTTCCCATCTCCAGTGGTAACACCTTACTCCAAGTCTCCTTTAGCTTTTATATGAACTACTGCAGTAGACTTCTATTCCATGTTTGCCTCCAGAAATCCTTTTGTTACCTAGAAGTCAGAGTGAGCTTCTTAAAATGTAAATTAGATCAGGTCATAACAGTAAAAAGATAAAGTTTCTTCCCTTGAAGTTAAAGTTTTTCCTTCCTTGAGGGAGATGGACCATAAACAAGTAAACAGGTGGATATGCAGCATGGTAATAGTGAGTCATAGAGGAGATTAAACTAGTCCTTGTTCAATCAGTTTACTTATTGTTAAAATTCCTGTGCTAAATGGGAGGCCATTAAGTGCATACGTTATTTTCAGTGACATTAATGAGAAAAATAATGGTGTGTTTCATTCTAACCCAGGTAAACATGTATCATTTGGACAGTGAAGACAAAGTTTTATAATTGACAATTGGAAGACAAATAGTTTGTTCACACAGTAATGTAATGAAAGTTAACTCCTTTTTTTATTTCCAAACATTTCCCCCCACACAAAATTTTCACTCCTTTCTTGATTCAGTTTTTTTTTTTTTAATACACTCAAAACTAAAACTATAAATAAAGTTATAGACCAGGAAATCATTTTAGGGGGAACGAAAAGGTCAGCCTGAAACTGTGAAAGTAGTTCCTGCTTACAACAGAATGAAGAGCCATTGAAGACACTACCTTTTCGCTCCCTCTTGTTTGGTGTACTTATACAAAGCCAAGTATTTTGGGTTCATTCAAACATGGCATACATTTCAAATTTGTTCCACATTGATATTCTGTGACCAGAGTCTATTATGCTAAATAAAATTGTTCATTTTTTTTGCCTGAAACCATAAGGCAGCATCACGTGTCATACAGTATAATGATTTAAGAGTGTTTTAGTGAAAAAGTCATTAAAAAATATAGACAAAAAAACAGGATTTGTTATTAAGGTGATATAACTTTTTTAGAGTCATTACAGCTCAGGTCAGTCATCTGAACTGTAACTAAGTGAAGAAAATGGGGTACTGAGATTATGATTAATTCAGTGATGTCACTGACATATTTGAACTGCTGAGTGAGACTGATCCAATCAATGGAGAAACAGTAGGAAAACACTGGGCAGAGAAACTAGTGACCATAAAAGCCCAGAGGTAGAACAGAGCTTGGTATATTTGAAGAACAGACGCAGGCCAGGGCTTCTTAATGTTCAGTGAGTTTAAGGGTGGCTTTGACATATGATGTAGTTGAAAAAGTGAGCAGAAACCATGACCTGAGGGTCTTGTTAGGCTATGAAGGGCTTTGGATGGACTTCTAGGAATAGGAAGCCCACAGAGAGTTTTAGCTACAGAGGGATATGGAGAGTGAGAATGATATGGTTTAATACTATTTTATTTACATTTATTATTCAGAGAAAGTCTGTTTATTTTTTCTCTTTATTCTACCTCTTCTCCCCTTATACATTTCTTGACATAAAATTTTTATATATCATATTTTTATCTCTGATTTTTGTCATAATTGTCAGGTGTATACTCTTGGGTTAAATCTGACTGAATTCTTTGACTTGATTTTTCTAAAGCACTAGTTCAGCACCCTCAAGAATACTAAGTAAATTATATTATCAGAGATTAAACATATCATTTAATTTAGGAGTAGTGAAAAATGTGCTGCTGCTGTTGTCTTGAGTTTTTCAAGCGTGATTTTCTCATGTTACAAAAGTAAGTTAGGCAGAGTCTGTAAGCACAGTAGAATTAGCTCTACTATTAGAAGGAAACAAATTAAAATTAATCGTACCGTAGCTGAAAGAAGGCAACACTAGCCCAGTAGGAAGGAAAAGACTGAAAGCTAGAGGACCCTGTTATTATGGCAGGGTCTGTTGTCGTCATGGAGTTTTCTAGGC